TGTAAATCAATAACCTCACTCCTTTCAACATTATCGTGCCTGCTGTTTAATCTCTCACACCAACCTTATGCTTGAAGCAGATCACATTTAGCCATCAAAAGGCCCTGTGTGTGTGTGGAGTACTTTGAAAATGACAAAATTATTGATTTCACCATATGTTCTCAATCATTGGGAGCAGATATCACTCAGCAGGAACCCCCCCCTCATTTCATTTCTCACTGTAAGTGGATGTGTCCTCCCTTGTCGCCTCATCTGTATTCACTGCAGGAGCCATCGTTGCCACACTCTGAAGGATTGTCCCTCCTCTGTCTTTCCCACTTGCCCTCTGTATCTCCTGTAACTGGACAGTTAAGGAGTGTGCCAAGCCATGGCTGGAGTGCATTTACCATGCAATGTGTAAGACATGGCCAGAATTTTTGTAGACATTTCATTTAAATGAACTAACATTGTCTACAGAATGTGAAGAACTAACAGTTCTGACCTTATGTCAAAGACGTCTACGTATTGTTTTGCAGAGATATCTACTGAAGTTAGCATGCTAAACAGCTAGCCCATCCTGTCTCATAATACCACTTTGTGCTGACTCTCTTTGACGTCAGGAGAATCTCAACACTGATAGGCTTTTATGACACAGCATCCATGAATTTTTTGCTGAAGTTGAAACATTTTCAACTTGTGCTGACACCTATTCACGTCTACTCGCTTTGCTTTTGGTCTGAACACACTTTTGCAAATTTGCTGCAGTATTGGAGCTATGCCTATAAAGGGGAATATGTTATACAAGTATTTCAAGTATTAATATATATTTTTACTTATCAAAAAGCTTTAACAATCAACTATGTAACTTAAAATTATCCTTTAATTGTCAATAGTGGCTGTTGTACACTACTAAACATTACAACTTTAGCCTCAGAAGCATCACATCACACAACAGAGAACAGGACACTTTTGGCTATTGTGACTTTTTTTTTTAAAGTTATGCATTTACACATTCTATTATTAAAATTCAATACATTACCTATAAAAACTTACAACAGTATTTTTGACATGTTGGCTTCATTGAATAGCTAAATTGAAGATGGTCAGATAATTTTGCTCAGGTGACACACTATTTGCTTGCATTTATAAGCATTGTATAAACAGTCACCATATTGTTAATATATTGTAGCTGTGTACAGAAATATGGACATTTTTAGCAATGTATTTGTCATTAAATATAACTTAATGTAGAAGGGTAATTGTTGCTTTAGGATGACTTAAAGAAGTGGTATTATGCTCATTTTCAGGTTCAAAATCTAATTTACAGGTTGTACCAGAACAGGTTTACATGGTTTAATTTTCAAAATACACCATATTTTTTGTCATACTGCACATTGCTGCAGCTCCTCTTTTATCCTGTGTTGAAGGCTTCGTTTTAGCTATAGAGTGATACATCTTGTCTCTAAATGATCTTTGTTGCACATGCACAGTTCATAGTTAAGGACTACTAGCCAATCAGAAGCAGAGAAGGGCAGGTCAGTGAGAAGCCGGTAAACATGGCTTTGGTTCAGCTGTATATGTTGCTGAACATCTTGGCAACACAGACTGGAGCAAGAGTTTCAAAGTGGTGAGTTATTAATCTGTAACAAAAAATTTTCATCCATAATGTTTTAACTGTGCTCTGTCTCTAAATCACAGTAACAACTTTATGTCCATTGACTGCCTGGAGGTTAGCTAGTGTTTGGAAGGAAGAGGAGAGGTGTGTGCTGCAGCTCAGTATTTTTCTTCCGGTGTCTTTGAGGGCGTGTCGGACTAGCCGCTTTGCAAGCCTTATATGACATGCACTACAGCTGGACTACAAACAAGCTGTTTTCAGGCAGTTCAGAGCAGAGTTTTCTGTGGGAGATGGGAACTCCCTTTGGGCTGGACTTTGGGCTTTTTCACTTTGCAAACCTATTACATGCACAAAAAAGGGTATATAACTCAATAAAGGAGAGGGAAAAAGACAAAAAGCAAAATACCACCTCTTTAAAATAGATGAAAAATACAATGAAAAAATGTTTTATGTTGGCTTATAAAATACACTAGCTTTTGTTTCAGTTTTATTATTAAGTGTGTATTAACTGCTTATAAATAGGAGAGGTTAAAATAAAGTGTTACCAACTAAATCTGATTATGATATAGTGATGTTTAAAAATTCTGCATATAGTGTCTAAGTGATTAATATTATTGTTGCCTGAAAACAAATGGACCCAGGATTAGTTTCTGATTCCTCCCACAGTCAGTTGGAGGAAACCAGCATAGAGGTTGCCTGGAGGTATATGAGAGTGTCTGTACTGTATGTCTGAAAGCCTGTAATGACTTCCCTGGCTGCCCCCCAGTGCATGCTGGGATAGGCTGCAGCACACCATCATAACCCTGAGAAAGAAATTAGTGGGTGGAGAATATAAATGAGACTGCATTTCACTTTATTTCCACGGATCAGTATTTCCCTCCTCATCATTATCATTGATGCTGTGTATGGTGCTTCGTCTGTGTTCTTCTTGTGTTTCATGTTGTCATGTGCATTCAGACACAGTGTGCCATAGACAGAACGTGTCATTGACATCTTCCATTACATCTCTGGCTTTCCTATACTTTCAGATAATTATTAGAATTGACTAGGACAGACTATGTGCAGCTGAGATTACTGACAACCCTTGCTCTGTCTTCTGCCTTGATATTTGTAAACCAATTATAGCTTGATTAGAAAGCATAATCCAAACAACCATCTCATGCAACACAACTGCTCAATAGAAAAATAACTGCTGACTGTCAGAACCATGTGGATTTACCACAAACTTGTGTTAAAAGTGTTTTATTTTATTTTATATATCAACCGCACATCCCCTTCTGAACTCTACAGTGACAGTTTATTTGTGACTGCTTCCACTGCAGTCTATTTCGTCTTTTAAAAGCATCAGTCGATCTTTTCACCGGTATTTCCATGGGTCAGCAGCTCCAGGTTGTCATTGATTATGTTAAGACTTCCACTGGGTGTCCAACAACCCAGAAGGAAATTGCTCCTTTTTTTCTGAACAGCAATTTGAGCCTTGTGTGCTGTGGCAGTTTTGGGGGGGAGCCAATAGGGCCAGTGCTCCTGTAACACAGGCCTCGGACCCCCCTATGGCCCCCCTCTGAACGAAAAGTCTACAATAATCAGAGTAATCTTCCTTGCGACGATATGGCGCTGATGCTAAAGGCGGAACAAATGTGTCTTAACTAGTCGGATCCTTTAGCACGTTACACCTCCACTGATTGGTGTCGTGTCAAGGTAGATAAGAACGCATTTAAAGGCAAACATTAATGTTATGTGTCACTGAACTAAGTATTATTTGTTGCACTGAATTGAGAATTTAGTTTCCCACGTGAAGCAAACAGTTGTATCGTAATAGTCTGACGATGTTATAACTGATCACGAAGTTGATCACTTAGTCATCCATGTTACTGTTTGGAAGCTAGATCTAGACAGGCTGTCACATTTTTCAAGTTTCAAGTTTCACATTTTTCTGCTCATACAAATATCTATGCCATCAATACTGTAAAATCAAGATCACTGTAATCAGTTTAACACATTGCTCGCCTCAACATTACATCTGCTCGAAATGTATATTAAACTGAATGCAGCATTGTAGACAATATTTTGTCCTTGTAATCCATCTTTCCATTGCATGGATAGCCTTTGGATATTGCTTGTTCTGAGTCCGCCTCCTTAAAGGGTAAATTAATATCATAACAATTTAATAATGCAGTGCATTTAAACAGCACTTTTCATACACAAAAAGCGATAACAGTAGCCTACATGTCCTACTAGGCTGGACATGCAGTCTGCCAAAAAATGTATCCCCATCCATAATGCATAAAGTCACTGAAACATACTAAAACATTATATACTAAACAAGACATTTTGAAAGCTTGAACATTGCCTTTGTCTCTTTTGTCCTGGATTGAATGTGCCCCTCTGACAAAACAACTGGCCCCAGCCTGCCCCCTCAATAAAACTGGTCTAGAACCGCCACTGCTTGTGTGCCTTGTATCAATTCACTCTTTCCTGTCCTTTGTATTGAAAATCGTCAATAGGAAGTCTTGCACTGCTGTAAACGTGACAATAAATGCATTGTCTTTTTTAGTGTAGGTTTTAGCACTGGCACACAACCTAACTGCTTCCGTTTTTCATTCAAATCAAGTGAAACAATGGCAGCAGGGTGAAATCATGTATCATCAACCATTTTTTACCATATTACTGAGTATCACATGTAGAAAAGGCACAAACAAATGCTTAGGACAGACAACTGTGTCACTGGTATTTTTATTATTTCCAGCGGTAGAAAGTAATGAAGTACATTTTACTCTCTGCACTTACAATTTCAAGGTACTTTGCTTTCCATTTTCTGCTACTTTATACTAGACTAGAGAATTTTTATAGTTTTTATTTCACTGAATTTAGACAGCTGTCCACTAAGTACTTTACATATTGAGATTTTACCCATTCAATTTGTAAAATATGATCGGAAAGAAATAGATTAGTTGATTAATCATAGACGATTGAATGAAAATTTAAAGTGATCTGAATGCTTCTTCTGGATCTGGCAACCTTTTCCACAATTGAATTTTTCTTAATTCGTGATTATGACTGTGCCCTTGGCTCCGTGTTTGCTTTTAGGAACTTTTGAAGAAGCTTAGATCAAGAGTGAACCTTTGCTTCAGCATTTGAGCCCACGGTGCTGAAAGTGAGTAACCAGTGAGTTTCCTCATTGCGCATGGCACAAGGCAACACGGCTGCACTTAAGTGATAAAATGCAAATCTGCCGTTATCTGAGGACTACCTCAACCAAGGACGGGAATACTGCTTTTCCTCAGCCAAATGGAAAACCATAATGTCTTATTTCATCTGCTGCCCTTCTTAGACAGCGGTGAGAATGTACTTTAGTCTCACCACAGCAGTGATCATCTCATTTGCACTGATAGGATGCAATGTGCAACTAGCGTCCACATGAAAGCCGCAGCTCCACACTTCTCCAGACCGAGCAAGCATGAGGATAGATTACTTTATTTGAGAACGGGAAAGGGGGCTTTCCTGCGACACATACATCTGTAACTTGCAGAATTTCGAGCCTCATTGTGGTCTTTTGTATAGATATATTTTGGTGCAGGGGATACTTCTACCACTGCTTGCATTTTGCACAAAGTAGCGTTGCGCGCGTCCGTTTGGATTTAAGCTGCAGTCCACTTGTCACCAACTGCAATGCCACAACTGTGAGAGAAAATGCATTTATCATGAAACTGTGCGCCGGCAGCTTTTTATCATGAACTCTTCAGTGGATCTAGAGACTCATATCCACAAGTGGAGCGTTTTGCTTTTCCGCCTTTCCGCCACAGATAATATCACTTCACAACTACAATGGGACAACGTGGAGGGCTAACTGGAGGAAATGTTGCCCGTAGAAGTCCAGTGAGACAGCAGGACTGTGACTTCCAGAGGACACCTGCAGACGAGTGAATGCCGTCTCCGATGTGGAGCTTGTCGCTGTCCGACGCGCGAGTGGTGCTGAAATTTGGATGATGCCTGCAAGACTGCAAGACTGCCGCTCCCTGCACTTCAACGAGGACAACGGCCGCTTCGTGCTGCTCGCCATCCTCATCGTACTGTACCTGCTGTGCGGCGCTGCGGTCTTCTCGGCCATAGAGAGGCCCTCGGAGCTGCGGGCTCACGGCCGCTGGAACGGGACGCTTCTCAACTTCAGTGAGACCTTCAACATCAGCCTGCAGGACCTCAACTCCTTCCTGCGGGAGTACGAGGCTGCCATCGCCGCCGGGATCCGGGCTGATGCTCTGAGGCCACGATGGGATTTTACAGGGGCTTTTTATTTTGTTGGAACTGTGGTGTCGACTATAGGTGGGTGATCTATGCAGCATTCACTGATTCCCCTGACCCTTTGGGCCATTTGGTTGCAGGCATGGTGTCATCTAAATACTTGGTGAAAAACATGTATTTTATTCCATGTAAACCACATGTAGCCAGCCCACATGAAGGCTTATAGATAGAAAATAAACTCCAAGAATGCATAATAAGCAGCTCACACCATTGAGACAGTAATTGTTGGATCTTTTGTAGGAGTCTAGGTAGCCTCCGATCATATTTGGGACCTCGTGAGAAAGCCACATTCGAGACAAATAAGTTGGAGAATGGTTAATATTAATGGGTCTTCTGTTTGTTAAATAATCATCTCATTACTGACAGTCTGGATGACAAAAGGACTGGTGCTGCCATCCCTGTAGGCTGCTTTCTTTCCACTGGCTTTCATACAGAATAACAGATTAACATTTTTTTGTTTTTTGTGTTACATTTTGGCTGAGGGACTTTGGCGAGGGGCGGGGGGGGGGGGGGGGGGGGGCGCATCTGACTTGCTTGCCAGGAATGGCAAACTCATCCCTGGCCATAGGACAGCACCCATGGGTGCAGTCTTTTTTTTGTTGTTGCCACATTTCCATTCAAACCAACAGGAATGTCAATGAGAAGCCCCGTCTGCTCCCCCCATTTAACATTTGCTTGTGCAATAGGTCAGAAAAGAGCAAGTGTCCCTCGCAGGGCACCCTGAGGGCCAACGGTGTGGTGCACTGCATGCCTGATGGATCCAAACACCCACTAACCCCTCTGCCCCTCCCTCGCTGACAGAGAGCTACAGCAGTGAGTGTAAGAGTGTGAACGGGTGATCATGCAAATGAACACTCTCCCAGTAATCATTTGAGCTGACGGACTGTGGAACTGTCCACCTCTGACCTTGCCCTCAAGACAAACACACACAGTAATGCCCCCTCCTATTAATTGGAAACTGTGGTGAGGGGAGTAATAAGGAAAACTGATGGCTGTATATGTGTGCGCAGGGAGAATTGGATGCACATGAGCAGGAAACCTGTCAGAACTTTATTTACTGTAGACCTGTCATGAGAGCTTTGCTTGCTCTTCCACCTTCTGCTCTCAGATATACAAATGCAGAGCTCCCAGGGAGCCCCTGCACTCACCTCACCCACTCACATGGAGGGGAACCACAGCAGCTGTGTTTGTGTACATGTCTGTGGCAGGTTGAAATCCTTTGTGCTCCACTTGTCAGCAGCGCAGTCTTCCCCCGACAAGCAGATCATATAAACTGACTCATGGAAAAAAAGGGAGAAAAGGGTGAGATGTCTGTCTACAGTATTTGTCTTTTCTTCTGCTCGTATGTATTTCTGTCTGGATTTCCATCTCCCTTTGATCTCCAACCCCCCACTCCTTTGGCTTGTGTGCTACTTTTTCTACATGCTTGTGAGCCGGTGATATAAAAGGGATTTGGAGGCCTCCCCACACAACTCTTTATCAGAGTGGCATCCCCCTGCGCACTCTAGACACTCCGCCCAACCACTTCCTGCTCTCGGACTCTGCTGTGGCAGAGGCTTCAAATCAGCAGTGACACTTTGCTCCCCTTGATGTGCCTCCACAATATTGCTTTGAAGAATGGAAGTGAAGCTATCCCATTTTCTAAAATATGGTCAAAATCAGCTTTGACATTCTGTCATTTACATTTTCAGGACCTTTTTTTTAACGAAACAATCTTATCACAAGGTCCACTGGATCTTCTTCTGCAAAGGGAGTTTCCAATGCGGTTGCCATGAAATTGTACACAATTTCTGAGCACTCCAAGGACATCTTGTCCATGTTGGCTTAAAAGTTGACCTAGAAAGTTTATTCCAGACCCTGAAAATTGTAGTGGACAAAAACAAACTCACCACGCTGTTCTGGCATTTTTAATCTTAACAAACAATCTTTCTCTGCAGTGGCCAGGTTGTCATGGAAATGTCTCAGCTGGCAGGCAAAAGGCTAAAATGCTGTTTCCAAGGTCAAGAATCAGCTTTCAACTCAACGTTTCAGCCATACTGGTGGCTCTAGGGATAGCAGAGTCAGTCTGTTGGTTGGTAGGTCAGTTGGTTGACCACTTTGTTCCAGACTATATCTCAACAACTATTGGATGTACCGACTACCAGCAGGTCTAAGTTTTCCTGTACACATGTTAAAAATGGATTGTCACAAAGTTATGTACAGATACTCATGGCCCCCAGAGGATGAATCCTAATGCTTTGGTGATGCTCTGACTTTTCCTCTAGCGCCATCATTAGGTTGACATTTGTGGTTTTGAGTGAAATGTTCAGACAACTATTAGATGGATTACCTTGAAATTTGGAACAAAATTCTAATTTGTCCAATACTTTGGTTAATGACATATACCTACAAAACTAATTACATTCCCATCAGCCTCAGATGTACTTTGTCATTAGTGCTAATTAGCGAATGTTAACATGCTAAATTAAGATAGTGACCAAGGTAAACACTACCTGTTAAACACAAGGATGTGTAAGAAGAACTGGATTTGGGCCTGCCACTCAGTCTTGCTGCCAATTTGTGCCAGTGGCCACGTCGGGTACTGCAACAAAAACTTCTCCTGCAGCTAAAAAAGCATCATTATAAGATAAGAGACTTCTGAAAAACTGGACTCTTCAAACTGCAAACTAAGTCAATAACTACCCTTTGAATTGTGAATTTCTAAACCATGGAGATTTTATATTTGAAATATTTTCCAAGGGCCTAGAAAAAAAACTGTGTGACCCTATCCCAGTGTAAAGTCTATGGGGAGAAACACTAATGCACATGTGCAGTGGCCTGCACAACGCAGAAGCAAACCCGGAATCTAGAAAAATGTTTTGGCTTTTGCACTCAGCAAGCATTTTCATGCAAGAGAGTAGGCGCCATCTAGTCTCCAGACCTAGTCTCCAGATCCAAAAATACCAATATGTTTAAGCGTCAACATTTGCCTTTCTGAGCATGTTAGCATGTTGTCTGGTGCATGGCTGCACACTCTTAGTCTTGGTTTCGTTATTTGTGTCATCTTGTTTAAGCATTGGATCCGTTGGAAGAGTTTGTTTGTGTCAGCATCCGACTCTTGGTTGTGTTGTCCTGCCCTACATTTTCCGATGCAGCTTTACTGTTTGCATGCTCGTTAAAGAGGGCACAAGAGTCCGCACAGTAAACAGAATTTCTATTAATACGAAAGCTATTTATAACCCTCAAGGCTGATTGATGGCTGACGACTGCCAATTAGGGCAGCTCTCTGTAGCTGTTTGTGAACTTGTAGGTCTCATTGTAAGTTGCTACAATGACATTTTGTAGAAATGTTTTTAAGTTTTGAAGTGCTCCAAGGGAGAACACTTGTCTGGGAATCGAGTGTACTTAGTGATGACTGTCTGATCTGAGACTTTTAACTTGTTGAGTTTGAGTGGGACGAGCCAGTTAGGGCAATTAGCTGTTCAGCAGTTTTCCATGTAATATTCAGCTGCAGATCTGGATTGTGTTCTGGGCTATTTATTCCTGGGGATCTGCTCTGTCCTGCCTTGTCTTGCCCCTGGCAGACAATGCAGCTTCTAACTCCACACTCATACTCGCCCACTCAGAGAAGTCACAAAGGCAGACGAGGCAAACAGGACATTTTGACAAACAGCACAAAACAAACCCTCATGCAGTTTTATCTCTAAATGAGGCCAGTGTTAACATCCATGTAGTCCACAACTTGCAAAATGAGGAGAAATGTCCGAGACTGGGCAGAGAAGAGTTAAGAGAAGATGAAATCCTGCTAAACCCTGGCTGTACAGAGCTGTGCTGCAGCAAGATGACAGGGTGCTCCTCCCTCAGGATATTCTTGGACAGGCATCATCTCTACCAAGACACAAACCACTGACTCCAGGTTGAAATGTGATATTTTAATCAAAGTGGCCTCATTAGCGTTAACTTAATCTTTAATTTACAGTTTATATTGACACTGTAAGAGAGGTGTTTAAACAACTCAATGGTATTTTCTATTCTTTCATAGTGGCAAACCCTGCAGAGTTATCATCTAAATCTGCAGTTCCCCCTCAACTTTACAGAGCGTTTTATCCTCTTTCAGCTCAGTTTTGGTTTTATTGCCCACAACTTTATTTTGGTTTACTGTCAAGTGACGTTGCTGCTTTCAGCAAAAACACTGTACACTACCTGCCCAGCACCAAACTACAGACACACAAAGTTAGCGACTTGCTGGTGAACATAGTGGAGCATTTATCAGCCAGATATTTCCCTTAGGAGTTGGAGTGGAGACCAAAGCCGAGCTAAAATAAGAGTGAATATAGGGCTTTCATTGCGTCACCGGAAAACATGATTCTGAATAGATGCTGTTAAAACGGTCAAACATGTTGTTTGACCCATATTTACATTTGTTGTTAGACCGCAGCCTCAAGTGGCTGTTTGACGGTAGCAAAGGAGAAAGTCAGGTGATGTAGTATAATGAGTGAGAAAGGACTCGAGCCCTGTGTGAAACCAAGTCAACGCTGACTTATTTAGAGTTTTAAGTTAAATAGTACTACTTACTTATGTCATGTGATTTACATAATGTATTAATTTTAACCCAAACCACGAAGTTTTCGTAACCTAACCAAGTAGTTTCGCTACCTAAAACTAACTATGTTTCACAACGTTAACCATATTAATTTCATTTCATTTATTTATAAGGACAACACACATTTATCAAAATTACTGTAAATGTGACAATGTTATCAGCTGGCTAATTTTCAACTGAAATCCTTCAGCAAGATGTTTTGAAACCTTTAAAACACATGTTTAACATCATGTGACTTACTTAATGTAGTTAAGGTCTGATACTCAAACTATATACATACATATATATTATATATATATCATCATATATGTTTTTTAGGGAAACGGTCATATATGTATTGTGGTATGCATTGAGAATTAATTTTGTCATTTAGGTAGACAGAGCATGACCATTATTAACATTAAAAACTTTACAGTAGCATTTGTTGCAGAGCTCATTG